TCCAATTGTGGAATCACCAAGACCTGGTAGTCCTATTGAATTTGGAATTAAACTAGCAAAAAGGCCTAGCTTATGGAGCAGAATAAGAAAATACATTAGTGACAGAATTCCAACAATGAGTATGTGTATTTAATATGTTAATTGTACTTAATATTAATGAGTATGTGTGTGTTATTTTTGCTTTCCTACATAAGTGTTAAAACAGCCTTATTTTAGTTTTAAAAGAGGTCCCAACCAATATAGAGCTTTACTATCTATCCTTTACCTTAAACCTTACCCTAACCCATACCTAACTCTTAACTAGAACATCCACTAACCTAAAGATAACCATAAATGAACCCTAACCATAAAGTATAAGTGTAGGTAACTATGGCAAGCCATTTTGCTATTTATTCTAACTTCAAGATATCTAATAAACTTTATAAGATATCTCATATAGTTTATAAGATATCTCATATAGTTAATAAGATATCTTATATAGTTTATAAGTATGGCAAGCAGTTTTACTATTTATTCTAACTTCAAGTTATCTAATAAACTTTATAAGATATCTCATATAGTTTATAAGATATCTTATATAGTTTACAAGATATCTCATATAATTTAAAAGATATCTCATAATTTTTATTTATATTATATAAGATACTTTATAAGATATCATCTACAGTTTAAAAGATATCTTATAAAATATATGAGATATCTTATAAAGTATATAATATATCTTATAAACTTTATAAGATATCTTATATACTTTAAGATATCTTATATACTTTAAGATATCTTATATACTTTAAGATATCTTATATACTTTAAGATATCTTATATATGTTGTGTACAAGTTGTAATGTTGTACACATTATAATTTGTACAGATTTTTTGTACATGTTATCAGTGTTTTATGAACCCCTAAACACAAATGAATGATGCAAGCACACAGTCTTTTATGTCGCATATTTCTATCATATTTTCACAACTACATGATACAGTCTAATACTGAGCATTGATACAAAAATATTATAAGAACACAAAAAGAATTTTTATGGATATGATTTTGGTATAAGGAGAAAAATAAAATTAGAATTTAAACCATTCAGGTGTAATCATTTCCAGTTTGAGGACAAAGAGAATAGCCCTAAATGTTAGGTTGAAGAATATAAATTTGAATTTAAGACATTAAACTGATACATTTTAGAAGATAAACTTTTATCACCTGGTGCAAGAAGGTATGTGTCAAAAAACTTATAACTTGTACAAAAACCCTGTACAAATTATAATTTGTACAAACTTACATCTTGTACACAACATATACATTATAAGATATCTTATAAACTGTAGAATATATCTTATAAAGTATCTTATATAATATCTTATATAATGTTTAAGATATCTGATAAAAACTAGATTATAAGATATCTTATAAACTGTAGAAGATATCTTATAAAGTATCTTATACAATATCTTATATAATATAGTGTTATCAACTGGCTGTTTCTGTATTAGCACTGGTATAGATTCAAGGTTTGCTGTATCGGTAGGGTCGAGGGCCAATACAGCTGACCGAGAATCTATACCAGTGCCAATACAGAAACAGCCAGTTCATAACACTTTTATTAAATGATTGTAGAAAATTAAAAACCGGAAGTGAACGTCCCGTATTAGCCCATGGGCCAATACGGCTTTTTTCCCGCTTTTTTCTGTATTGGCCCTGTTTTTCTGTTTCAAAACTTTAAGACGTTACTAAACATTGCACATCATTTAACCTGTTTATTTTATGATTTTAATTTAAAAAATATTATACAAATGTTTTTATGCATAACGATACTTCCAAAGTAAAGTAATGGCTTAAGAAAATTGGAAACCGAAAGTGAACGTCCTGTATTAGCCCTAGGGCTAATACGGCTTTTTTCCCGCTTTTTTCTGTATTGGCCCTGTTTTTTCCGTATTGGCCCTGTTCGAAGAGCAATATTAAATCTTGATTTATATCGACAGTGGAACGTTTTCAGTATTGCACATGCTGATTTATCCGTATTAGGGCTTATTTGCTCATATCATTTAATAATATATAGTATATCTTATAAAAACTAGATTATATATTAAATATTTTTTATATAAGACATCTTATATAGTTTATAAGACATCTCATATAGTTTATAAGATATCTCATATAATTTATAAGATATCTTATAAAAAAAAATATGAGATATCTTATAAATTATATGATATACCTTATCAACTATATAAGATAGCTTATAAACTATATATAAGATATCTTATTAACAATATAAGATATCTTATAAAATATAGGAGATATCTTATAAAGTATATAAGATATCTTGTATAAAAAATATTTATAATATGAAAAAAATATTTATAATATGAAAAAATATTTATAAGATGTCTTATATACTTTAGAAGATATCTTATAAAGTATAATATATATCTTATAAAATATATAAGATATCTTTTAAAGTTTATAAGATGTCTTATAAAAACTAGATTATATAAGATATCATATATATTATATGAGATATCTTAAATGTAGAATTAATAGTAAAATGGCTTGCCATAGGTTACTCTTAAGTTAAAGAAGGTCCCAAAAAACATAAAATTGAGAATGGAAATGGGGAATGTGTCAAAGAGACAACAACCCAACCATAGAGCAGACAAAAAACAGTATTCTTCATGAAAAACAAAGTAAAGACACAATAATTAAACATTGTCCAGGTTCAATTTATTTCCCCTTCAAAATTTTGTAAATTAGTTCAATACATTGGAATGAACCTATTTGGCTTCATATTATAGGATGATGAACCATTTGGTGAAGTCTAATTAAATCAATCAGACAATTCAAAATTTATTTTGCTTTGTGTACATCTTCATATAGTCAATATCTTTTTGTAAGGTTCATTCAAATTCATTTGGCAGTTAAGAAGGAGTTGCACATAACAGATTCATGGACATTAACATGAATGAACAACAAAGTGTTTTGTTTTGAAATATGCCTTAAATTCATTTGTGGGTTTAAAACAACTAGTTTTCAAATCAAGTCTATAGAAAAGCCAACAGAGAGACATTGAAAAAACATTGAGAAGTTAGTTCCAAATTCAACAAGAGTGCCAGGTAGTCTTGATCGCTTTTTTTGCTGAAGGCTCTAGAATTTTGCATTGTTGTATTGTTAAACCCATAAAAATGATACACAGTGTAGATTATCTAGATCATCTAATATATAAGCATACCAACACAATTACAATATGGCTAAGGTTAATAACATGTGCATATAAGAAAGGCAGTTGCTATTTGTCCGGCCAATACAATGCGCATGTCTGTGTGGGTGAAATATTATCTTCAGCAGCACTAGGGTGTCGCAAATTATATATATGGACATCTAAAAAGCAATGTTTTGCAATCTTATTATAATTAATTGTTAGGCTTAATCTTCTTACTGGTAATTGAAATTGTTGTTTTCTTCATATAAAGTCCAAAGTGGACAACGTATAATAGAAAAAAATCAAATATATATGCCATATTTATTTCTTTTTATGGCTTCACATTGTAAGAAGAGGGAAGAAATCACTTGTAAAACAAACTTTGGTCGTGATTGACTCATGCATTTTAAGTTAACATAAGGATTTGGTCTAGTTGCAAAAGGTACAAAATTATTATATATGAAGCTGTCAAACAGAATTATGGACCCCCTTAACATAAAGTTATCCATATTTTGAGTGAAAGGTGGGAGATTTTACTATAATGTTTCCCCCAAAAAAGTAAACAACACTGTAAAAATCTTATTAGGAAATTCCAGGTGGGATTTTATTTTATTTACGTTAGGGGGCGGGGTTAACACGGGGTGCTCCTTTTCCCAAATCCCTCTTTTTCTTTTCCCCCAGATCCCCCTCAACTGAGTTCGCGGGCTACTTGCAATATTCATTTTCGGAATATAACTAAATTTTATTAAGTTAGACATGCCTTTGTAAAGGCCTTTCTCAATTACTCTTACAGCTATAGCAGGTCGAATAATTTTGTTCTCCGATCAATTACCTTTTATTTCCCCTTTTATTTGTGATTTCAATTAATTTTTAGTCCCTTTTATAAAATTATATCATTCTTTGAAGTTCATACTATCGTATTCCCTAGTCAAATTCTGAAAACTGAAAAATTTATCACAAATATTGATATCATGCGCCGTTTTCAGCCATGATCTCAAAATTGAAAATCAGTGATCAGATTACACGCGAATCCTGGTGCTACTGAAGATAATATTACATGCACTTCCGTACGCACATAAAATGACATGTGCATTGCAATGGCCGGACAAATAGCCCTAACACTATTTGTCCGGCTAGCCGGACGAATAGCCACTCTGTATAAGAAAACTTATATTGAGACACTATCCATTTTGCCTTGGTTCTTGCTGTCATATGAATTTCATATTTATAATTGTATTGTATTTTCAGTTCGTATAAGAATCAGACACCCATGCAGAAGAAGGAATCATGGGAGCCATGAAAATGTTCGTGATATTGATATTGGAATTAAATCATTTCATCTCAGCACATGGAAAAGATCTATTCGTCCTGTGTCATCTCTTTCCATTATCAGTGAAAAATTTGATGAGGTCAGTATTTCAAGCTATGATGTAAACAGCTAGCCTTAAGTTACATTTTGAATGGTAGTATTTTTCTTTGTTTTGGAAAACTAACATATTATAAACAAAGAAAACATGAACAAAACTATATATAAAACTTTGTAAATTATATTTTCAGAATTTTATACATTCAATTTTTTTGTTCATTAAATCTATGACGAACAAACTTAAAGATACATTGTGTATCAGTATGTACCTGTTCCAAGTCAGGAGCCTGTTATTCAGTGGTTGTCATTTGTTGTTGTATATCATATTTGTTTTTGTTTATTGTTTTGTACTTAAATCAAGCTTTTAGTTTTCTCGTTTGGATGGTTTTACATTTGTCATTTCTAGGTCTTTCAGCTTACTACTCATTATGGGTTTGTTCATTGTTGAAGGCCGTACAGTGGCCTATAATAGCGTACATCCACTTCACTTGAACTCTGGTGGATAGTTGTCTCATTGCCAATCATACCACATCTCCTTATTTCTATATTAACTCTATTATAAAATATGCCTTTTAGAAATTTTTCTTTCTTCTTATTTATTATCGTAAACCTCCTAACTACTTGGTTCTTTCACTCCTGATACATGTACTATAGATACTAAATACTATTAATATTAATATTTATATATGCATTTACTTTTGAATTAAAGGCGATTTGGATGTATAGTATACATGTATGTGTAAATTTCAGTATCTACTTTCATTTATAAAATACACACTTTTTACTTAAAAGTTTGAAGTTCTTTTATTTGTTGAGCATATTGGGAAAAGGTTATCAAAGGGTCTACAGTAACAACCATGAACACCCATTGAACTTTAATTATACGGAAAAATAAATCCTCATACAGAATAACTGACCTTCAGTGGCAAATCTAATTTTTACTAGGTTTTGCAGTCATTGTTGGGTAATAAAAATTAAATTAAGCAACACAAGAAGTTTTGTAAAGTAGAACAGCTTCTGTTTACAATGTATTATCATTATGGTAGACTTTCCTAGTCTAGTTATGAAAAGCTAGATAAATCGCAACTTGCATATATCATTACAATGATACTACCATGCTACTGTCTACTATTTTTTCAGGACTTTCATTCATTGGATACATTTGGACCAATTATTTGACTTTGGGAATTAATCAAAACTACAAATTCTAATCTGGAACAAGCTGTTTATTTTTCTTTGAATTGTTTTCTGTGTAATTACAAATTACAAAAGCCATGAAGAAATTTGTTTTTTTACTAACCACACATATTGGAATTCAAGATTAAGCACACTTTCACAGTAGCAAAAATCATATATTAAGTATATATTTGTTTTGTTTTTTCCAGAAAAGTGGGTCTTCCAATTCAAAGTCACAGACCAAAAGAGGTATTTTATTGTCAAAATTATGGACCTTGAATTAATTGAAAATGTTACTTTTAGTAATTATGCTCAGCTATGTTTTGGAAACAAACTCTGTGATCGGTAGTTACAGATTTAGTTTGCAATTCATCTTTGTTGTCACAATAAAAACATATTAAATGTTTAGTTCTCTAGACTTTTAGAAATATTAATAAAAATACTACAATTTTTTAAGCTCACTGATTTGTAATGAAATACACCTGACATTGATTGTCTATCATCTTTTGTTAAAAAAACTATGACCAACATAACCTTTTTTAAGACATGATCTAATGTGATCCTTAAGATATTTCCCTATATGAATTATGATAATGCATACTAAGTGACAATCATCAACCAATATAATAGATATAGTATACATATATGATTTATTGTAAAGTTTATCTTTTATCTTTCAGAGGATACAGTTACATGTTCCTCTGAGATTACACTGGAAACAGACACATATTCTAATTCATCTCCAATACCTCCAGAAAAATTCAGTATCATTTCATTACATCCAGAGAAACACAGTTCTTGTAATGTCATACATGAAGCAAGGTCTAACACCTCAGATTCCACATCTGGATCATCATCCAATGAAACTGTGCCATCTCATAAGGAGCAGACTCTCCCCAGAAAAGAAAGTACCAGTAGACATAAGCCTAAGATCATATCAGTCAAGTCTGTAGATCTGAGTGACTCTAGTAGCCAAAAGTCAAATGAATCATCCAATGGTGAGATGGAACGAATGAAGAGACTCAGAAAAAGAGTAGCTGCCAATAATAAAATAGAAGTATTACCTCAAAAAGTGGAAAAAAGTAATAGTCCTAAGAAAGGTAAATTGGATGCTTCCAGGAAAGAAAAAAGTACTTCTATCACCAATGATGGAAAAACTGTTGCAAAGAATACTGGGGAAAGGAAGCCGCAAGATGACAACAAAAAAATTGGCAAACAAAATCACAGATCCAGTACTGAAAAGGAAGAGAAGAGTACTAACAGCAATGCCTGCAGTGAAGAAAGTGACAACAGCAATGAAGGATCAGATAAGAAAGAAAAACAAGTGAAATCAGAAGCCAGGAAAAAAGTTGCTTTCAATGAAGAAAGCATTGACGCAAGAAGTACAGGGCAGAGATCAGAACAGTACAAAGAACTGTATAAAGCAGAAAGAATTATTAATACAGAGAAAATACACCCAGCAATATCAAAGAGATCTTACAAACTAAAATGTGAGAAAAATTTCAATCTCAGAGCCTCCACACCAAGTGATGAGTTTGGAAAGGAAAAAGGGGTAAAGAAAATTAAACCCTTCAAGAAGGAAGTCATTGACTCAATGTATAAACAGGAAGCTAGCATAATAAAGCTAAGTGAACAGCAGCTACAACCTGCATGGGGAACCACTACAACTTTAGCTGACAAGCCTATTGAGGACAGACCTATTATGACTGTTGGGCCAGCACAGACAGCGCATACAAGGAAAGTGTCAGTACAACCAGGTAGAACCAGTATTGACAAGCAACCAAAAGTAGCTGAAACTCCATGGTCAACCGCTGAAAAGTTTGAAGATTCAATGATAAATGTTAAAGACAAAAAGAAACTCAAGAAAGAAAAGGTTACAAGATTGAATGTACTGAAAGGTGATGGTGATGAATCTGATGGGAAAAGACCCAGTCCAATTGGAAGAGAAAATAAAGAACAAAGACAGAGAAAAAAGCAACATGCTAAATACACTGTGCCAAATAATAGTGACAATAGTTCAAATGATAATCTATCTGAAAACCAGAATGATGACTTTGATTTGGATGAATTAAGAAGGGCAGCAAAAAGTTTGGTTACTGAATCAACCAGTATGGCATTGGATTTTGTTGAAGGAGTTGAATGGGACAAGAAAGGTTCAAAAGAAGGAAAAAAATACCAGTCAAACCTGTCCAAAATAACTGAGGAGAAAGAGAAAGATAAAAAGACAAAGATTTTGAGGAAGATATATGATGAAGTTAATGTGGACCATAAACCACCACTGCCTGCTGAGAAAGTAAAAGAAAGATCATCATGGTGTGACACAAGGGTAATTAAACCAGTATATGAATATGAAACAACAGATGATGAGTCTGATGTAGAAGAAATGCCTGAAACTACAAAACTCAATACAGTTATCATTCCAAAGCCAAGAGTTAAACCACCTGCTGAGAAAGTAAAAGAAAAATCATCATGGTGTGACACAAGGGTAATTAAACCAGTATATGAATATGAAACAACAGATGATGAGTCTGATGTAGAAGAAATGCCTAAAACTACAAAACTCAATACAGTTATCATTCCAAAGCCAAGAGTTAAACCGCCTGCTGAGAAAGTAAAAGAAAGATCATCATGGTGTGATACAAGGGTAATTAAACCAGTATATGAATATGAAACAACAGATGATGAGTCTGATGTAGAAGAAATGCCTAAAACTACAAAAACCAATACAGTTATCATTCCAAAGCCAAGAGTTAAACCTGATACACAGACAAATGTTAGAGGTGAGTTTATTTTTGGGTAACTGTTTTCTTCTCTTTGTTCTTCAAATGCATGATATATCTAAAACAAAAATGAAAGCAAGCAGATTCAAATGTTTTACACTAAAGTGCAATAAATTATGGAAAAATTGATGCAGTTTCAGATCATCAAGAGCCACAAAAATGTAATAGAAAAATAAGGATTTGTTGTATGATTACCAATTAGACAACTATCCATTTAAGTCCAAAGGTTAAGGATGTGAATAGGTCTTAGACTAGATCATTTGTTTAAAAAAGGTTAAAAATGTCAAGAAGTATACAATGTCGTGTTTCATTATATATCTGCCACTAGATTCTAATTTGATATGTGAGTTTAGAATCCTTGGAAACAAATTCTAACCAAGATAAAACTTAATAACTTAAAACCACTATGGTTTTGTGAGGATTACAAAATTTGGTACATTCTGTAAAAATGTGAAAATGAGATACATTATTAAATAAATTTTACAAGTTTTTATGATGTTCAATATGTACCAGTTCTTACAGATGCTTAAACATTGACATAAATGAAAAATTTTTGTTTTATCATTATTTTAGATTATTTAAAGTACCTCCTCCTTTTTCCTCACCTCTTTGTCTTGAAATTAAATATTCAAACTAAAGTCAATTCAAAAAACTTCAACTAAATATAAATAACTTTATAAGGTATTTAGTTCATTTATAGCTTATTGATGAAAATCTGTTTGTATGATCTCCTTGATATGTCAAGTTGATGTAACATTAAATAAATTTTCTCTTGGCTTAAAGAATAATTTACATATTTTTCAGAATGCAAACTGGAAAAAGACCAGCCATCAAGGTAGGTGGAGTTGGAATTTTGAGTTATTTCCCTTGTCACAATAAGGGAAATAATCTATGATTAAAAACTAAACTTAAGTTAGCTCATGAATTACCTTTCACTTTTAGTGACAAGATATAAAAAGAGAGTCTTTATGGAAAGTCACAATTATATTTGTATATTTTTATTAGTATATATATATATATATATATAAATATGTGTGCGTATGAGTGTGTAAAACTCTGGATTTGTTAGTTGATACAGTTTACACAATCTGTTAATTTATTGGAAAACAGCAATGCTTGACTACAAGTTAAGTTTTGGGTTTATTAAATAGTACAAAAAGTTTCTTTTCTCTTGACAAACCAAACAAATTAAAATTGTAATAAATCCCATAAGGTTTCTACAAGATACTCATACAAATATAGAGACAAAAGAAAACAAAACTATGCACTTGGCTATGTCTTGCAAACCATACTGAAGTTATTCTAATTATATATCCTAAATACTATGTTTGATATTATTAAAAAAAAACATTGTTTTTCATAATTTATTTGTTCAATTGGCCTTAAAGAACAATCCTGAATCAAATTTTGATGTAAAGATATTGACAACTTGTTCTTTTGTGTGTACTTCCAGTTCAGTGGCATTAGATGATTACAGTATACATACTGCAGAATCTACCAATCTGGAGAAGTATTCTACTGCTGATTTCATAAATGATTTGGATACCTGTTTGGGTGATTTCAAACCATCAAAACAAAGGGAGATAACCAAATCAAAGTCTGCTGCACCAAGACCAAAGGAGACAACATTGGCACCAAATCCATTCCCTATGTCCAAGAATAATCTTCCAGTAGTATGTCCACCAAAAACAGAAAAACCAAAATATAGAAGGAGAATACAACTTCAAAATCCATTACTTGCAGGTACAATTTAAAAAATTACATCACCTAGCTATATATTTCTGTATGTAAAGGTCTGTTTCTCAAGGATTGCCCAAAAATTGCATTTATATTTTCCCAATCAGGTTAAAGATTTCCCCCAAAAATTGTATACCGTGGGTAGATGTTATATGCTATCACTCAAGTTTGTTATAGATAAATTTTCAAATTACATCTTAATCAATTTAGTTCCTTTCCAGCCTGAATTTTTGCTGTACTAGTATTTAAATGTTGTCTTTTTTTTTCTATAAAGACCCATATCATTTAATGCAATAAAATAAGGAGGTATCCTTTTTAGAGTACCTATTATAATCTCGCTTTCAAAGACAGGTAAACTGATAATCTCTGTCCATAACACATTTCCGTTGCATTTTTTACAGCAACTACAAAACATAGTGTCTTGAATTATGGCACCAAGCTTAAACTAGTTAGCCCATACCCGATGACAAGTTATCAGTTCCCTTAATGTTCTACTTTCTGTTTGATGATCCCTTATATCTTTAAAATGAAATACACACCTATCAATATTTTGTAACATATACTTTAGTCAACAACATTGGATAGGATTATGAAAGCTGAGCAATAGCTGGTTAATATTATAAAATTTTCAAATTTTCCTGAAATTTTGCTATTTTAAAGCAAGAACAAAAGTACCGGTAGAGGAGGTTCTTTATATGTAACAAAAACAGAACTAAATCTCTATCGTGTCATTCTTTATTAAAGTGAAAATGGTTAGGTATGCAGATGACAGGACCAAGAAATTTGAAAGAAAGATAAAAAAATTTACAAAAAAACTACTTGGTTTCAGTTAATACCTGTTCTACATTGTGTATAAAAATGAAAAAAATGAAAACAAAGTTCTTTTAATTTCATGTGTCAAAGCACTTTTCTGGATTTACCTTCATCAGGAATGCTCAAAGTTGAATATTTGAAAGCCAATGATGTATAACAATCAAAACAGTTGAAGAGCTATAATACTAAAAAGACCTAATAAAAAGCGTTAAAATAAATGTATTTGAGAAAGTAGATAAAAAATTTAAATTAGGTTGAACCATTTATATAGAACATCTTTTGCCTCTCTATAGTTTTCAGTTATAATTGTATACCAATATTCATAAAAGAATGTCATATAGGCAGATAAGCAACTTTCATCATGAAATTTACAAATAGTATTTCTTTCAGGTGTAGAAGATCATCCAGCAATTCAAAGGATATCTGCTCCAGAAGAACTGGGAAAATTAAAAGAAGTTAAAAATAGAGAAGAGCCTACTCCAGAAATCTTTCTTAGAACAGGAAAGAAGGAAACAAGAAAAGTAGATGATACAATGCCTCTTACTAATTACCAAAGGCCAATTGGAAAGCTACAAGCAAAGGGAAGGGATTCTTCTATGGTAGATGTCAAATTTTTTACAGAACAACGGGACCCTAGAGCAAATGATAGAACAGATCCAAAGGACAGTAGAGACACATCTAGCCAGGATTGCCTTTACCCAATGCCTGATAATATGCCACACGATCTAACTCCATTGCAGAAGCAGAACTTTTCAAAAATGCAGTGCACATTTAAAGCTAGGGACAAGAATTTGCCTGATGCTAAGTTTTGGACAGATCTTGCCAAGGGTAATCTTCCTGAACAAGACAGAGGAAGTTTTGAATTAGAGCCCCCAAAGGAAAGGAAATGTGAATTTTCTCCATGGCCCATAGCACCAATAGGATTAGGAGGTAATGATGGGTATAGAGTTGGTATCACTGACAGTGAAGCTGAGCTGAATAAAAATTTCTTCTCAAAAGTAGCAACAAAACCACAGTTCTATCAAAAGTCAAAACAGAAGCACCAGGAATCAAATTCTTATCCACTTGATGACATACCTTCCTCAGACACCTACAAGTCTACTCCACAGGAAAATCTGGATTTCTTTAGAAATGTAGCAACTGATCCTAACTTTCGTAACAAAGGAAAAGAAAAACCAAAGCCTTATATTCCAAAAACACCAACCAGGAATATATTACTGGATGAAGACCATGTTATTAATGCCAAAGAAAATTTAGATTTTTTCAGAAGAATTTCCAAGGATCCTGAATTTTTCAAGAAAAAGAATGAATCTGAAAAGATTGACCTTCCAAGATCATATTTCAATGAACCACCTCTTGGTGTGGATGAAGAATTGCCTGGAAGACATCATTCAAGAGAAAAGGAAAACCTTGATTTCTTTTTACATGTGTCCAGAAATGCTACAGCTTTTTATTCTGAACCTGGGAATCCCTATGAAGAGGAAACTAATAATCCCTCCACCACTTCGAGTTATCAACCTCAAAGAGGCTTTATCCCTGATGATCCTAAAAATTATGTTGATGAAGAAACTGCAGAAAACAATTTAAAATTCTTCAGAAATCTTGCCAAAGATAGAGATTTTTCACAAATTGAAAATAAAAAAGCTTCACGGAAGAGTGGTAAGAAGAGAAGGAAGCAAATTTCATTTGTAGAAAATGGCAATGACAATGGAAACTGTAACTTTCAAATATCAAAAGAAAAAGCAGAAGAAAACCTAAGGTTCTTCAGGGAGATGTCACAGTCAGCTAAACAAGGATTTACAAGATATGAATAACGTGTGGAGGCTGACACTTAAGAAATACCATAGTGCTACATAAAAAAACAGTGATGTGCAATATTTTGTGTACTATAACAGTCGTTCAAATGGCAACTTACATTCAAAATTATATCCAACGGTGTGAGTGTTAAAAATGTGCAATATACCTTATTTGGCGCAATATTACCAAAGATCATGAAAATAATACATAGAAAACCATTTTTGATTCTGTACTTTTTTTTTATATTAGGTTCGTTTTGGAAAAGGTGATTTTATTCAAATTTTTAAAATGCAGTTTTCTGCAAGTGATGCAGTTTTTTTTCAATCTGCAATATACTTGTACAAATGTATCTGACATTTTTATTTAGGCACTCAGGACGGTTAGTCATTATGAATGTTACTTTACCTTATGCAATTTGAAAAGAGGGGAAATTCAAAGAAAACATGTTGAGGGTAGAGCTCTTAATATATGTAAATAGGGTTCATGAATTTTCTTACGAATCGATATCATTCAGTTTGATTTTACATTTTTATAGCAATGACAATTTAAAAAAAAAATTTACCAAATATTGCTTCACTTACCCAATGTTTTCTAATATCTATAATTTTGATTTTTTACTAAATATTTTGTGCTTTTTTTTTAATAAATGTTTTGTGCTTTTTGCTTTTATAGCCATCCTTAGGCAAATTTGTTATGTTTTGAAATCTTTTACATTGTACCAATATAAATCAGTGCAAAAATAAGTATTTACAAAATTGACATCTCATTTATAGGGCTCTTTTTAATTACATTAATGAAGATGCAACATGAAGTACTCAGCAAGCATGAAGTAGAAAACTGGTCACAATACTGATTTTGTCAAAATTGTGCATTTCTTATATAAATATTTTTTCTTTTAAACTATACCGTGAATGCTCAATATTTTCACTACTTGAATGAAAGGGCATATTATTTAGGATGCTTAATACTATGATTTTCAAACTACAAGATCTACATGTAAAATTTAAAGAAAGTTCATATTAGCATATGCTGTACCTTATAATGCTGGAAATAAATAAATTGCAGATATTGAAAGATTCTGAATATCAGTTAAGACAGAATTGCAGTTACTTGAAGATTCCTGAAAAATTCTGAAAATTAGTCAAATCTTAATCGCAGTTACTGTTAGATTCTGGAAAATTCTGAATATCAGTAAGCCAGAATTGTGGTTAATGTGAGATTTAGGATTATACTAAACATCAGTAAAGTCAGAATTACAGTAACTATGAGGTTCTAGAAAATTCTGAATGTCAGGAAAGCCAGAATTACAGTTACTGTGGGATTCTGAAAAATTGTGAATTTCAGTAAAGCAAGAATGGCAGTTACTGTTGGATTTTAGAAAAATCTGAACACCAGAAAGTCAGAATTGCAGATACTGTGAGAATCTGGAAAATTCTGAACATCAGTAAAGCCAGAATTGCAGTTACTACAAGATTCTAATAAGTTCTGAATATCAGTAAACCCAAAATTGCAGTAACTGTATGATTCCAGTACTCTTCAATTTCAGATTCTGGAATTAAAAGTTCTGGTGAATAATTTCAGAAAGATAATTGTAGAATTTGAGCTTGAATACTAGTACTGGAATTCACAATTTTATTCCAGAATTCTTTATGGATTCTTCCAGTACTTTACAATTCTGACATAAAACATAGACTCTATTATAGTCTAGTAAACAGATATTTAAAAGTTGTTCAATTTCTGGGATTTATTTTATGGTACTAGAACTTCCAGTATGCATGAATTTCGTGTCTTGTTAAGTTTAAAAACAAAACAAAATTTCAGATTTGATAAATTGGACTTGATTTTTTTTCCTCACTTTTATCAAATTGTCTTTTAAATTTTCATTTCAGTTACTGTCTAAAAATAATTTTAAGAGCTAATTAAACCATTTATCATATTGATTGCTGGACAAATTTACATTTCAGTTATATCTTTACATTTTGGAGGTGACACTGGCTGTTGATCCAGAATCTAAAAATGGCTATTGTACACTACCTGACAATTCAACAAGTATGATGTAGGAAAAGTCACTTTGATATAATTAAATATAAAAGAAAGTTATTAAGTGATTTAAAACAAAAATCAAATTTTGTTTGTCTACTTACTTTAAAACCAGTAGCACTATGGTACAATACTTGTTAGTTTTGGGTAGTAAACATATGTGTATACCAATGTATGTAGTTTTCTTTCTAAAGTACCAGTCAAGTTATTTTTTCTGGTTTTTTTTCCTAGAATTAAAATATTCATAGATCTCATTCAAAAGGAATGAACCTATATTTTCACATTTTCCCATTCATAAAAACGTCACAAAAATTGCTGTACTTACAGTACTTGATTTTTTTTACATTTCCGTCTGATATTACACAAATAAAACAGATTTGAATGGTGCTTTAATCTGTGATATTAATTTTTTATTGTTTATTTATATATGTGATCAAGTTTATTTTTTTATTGTTTATCTATATATGTGATCATGTTTAATTTTTTATTGTTTATTCATATATGTGATCATGTTATCAGAGTTTTTTATTATTTTGAAATAAAAGTTTAAAAAAATATAGACTTGAGTTTTTAAGAACTTTCAAATGCAGTACATTTTGAACACCAACTAAGAACCAGTTTTCACTGGGGTTTAAAGAAACACTTATCAAAACAAAACCAGAATAACCACTGGGTGTTAGGGAAACAACAATCAGTACAGAACCAGAACAAAAGTGCACACACTGAAATGTCCTGCCTGCTTTACTTATGAGTGAATTTATGTTGAAAGTCTGTAATATGAAGGTTTTACTACAAGTATTTCATAAACTTAACATGTCAGACAGACACTACACCTTACAAACAGTTGTTTTCCATTTGTTTGATGTGTTTGAGCTTTTAATTTTGCCAATTGTTAAGGGACTTTCCTTTTTGAATTTTCCTTGGAGTTAGGTATTTTTGTTGTTTTACTTTTTCCATACACCAAATATAGTGGTCCTATTGCTAAAGTACCTGGGAAACAGATCAAAATCACAAAATCTTAACATTGACCAATGAACCATGAAAATGAGGTCATGGTAATAAGAACCCTGTCAGTCGATATAAGAAGATGTGGTATGAGTGCCAATGAGACAACTCTCCATCCAAGTCACAATTTGTAAAAGTAAACCATTATAGGTCAAAGTACGGCCTTCAACACGGAGCCTTGGCTCACACCAAACAGCAAGCTATAAAGGGCCCCAAAAATTACTAGTGTAAAACCATTCAAAACATAACTAAATTTGTATTCTTTTCAAACGTTTTTTTGGGATCAGTTACCAAGAGTACTCTCATATCGTACTTTCGTGTTATTTGACCTGTTGATACAATTTTCAATGTATTTTTGTTATTTAATGTTTACTTATTTAGTGTTATATCTTGTCTCACTATTTTTAATATTTACCACCTTTGATAAGTGTTTAGTATGACGATAAATTTTCACTTCTGTTCTCTATGAACAACAAAATTATTTATTTTGTAAAAAATATTTCCGAGCTCCATGTATACCTTACAACAAAACTATTTTTATTTACCTGTGTAAGTTATTTTATTTGGCGGCATTTTGTCCAAGGTTATGGTTGTCTATCTAATATTGTTTTACATCTAATCCCCTTGTTTTATTAATTTTGTATTTACATTGTGTCATAGATCACATTTATTCGTTCAGTGTATGTTCACTTGTTTTTGTTAATATGTTCTTTTGATTGAGTTAAGCCATTGCAATTGATATAAATTTTATAGTGTGTCTTTCTATGTTGTGATGTTACACTATTGTTTCGGGTTAGGGTGAAGGTTGGCGCCTATTAAAACGTTTAAACCCGCTGCTTTTGTTTGCACCTGTCCTAAGTCAGGAACCTGATGTTCAGTGGTTGTCGTTTGTTGGTGTGGTTCATAAGTGTTTCTCGTTTCTCGTTTTTTATATAGATTAGACTGTTGGTTTTCCTGTTTGAATGGTTTTACACTAGTCACTTTTGGGGCCCTTTATAGCTTACTGTTCGGTGTGAGCCAAGGCTCTGTGTTGAAGGCCGTACTTTGACCTATAATGGTTTACTTTTACAAATTGTGACTTGGATGAAGAGTTGTCTCATTGGCACTCATACCACATCTTCTTATAGCTATGTACATCTTATAATTATTCTACATACCAAATTAACTTGACCTATTACTTATAGTATCTAAGAAATAAACCAAACCACAAAAACTTAACATTTGCTAATGAACCATAAATGAGGTCAAGGTCAGATGAAACCTGCCAGTCCGACATGTACATCATACAATCATTCCAAACACCAAATATAGTGGCTCTTTTGCTTAAAATATAGTATCTGAGAAATAGACCAAACCACAAAAACTAAACATTGTCAAATGAACCATGAAATTGAGGTCAATTGTCAGATGAAACCTGCCGGTCGGACCTGTACACCTTACAATCATTCCATAAACCAAATATAGTTGACCTACTGCTGAGATACGGACTTATTCATGTAACTTTAACCTTGATCACTGATCCATGAAATGAGTTCGAGGTCAGGTGAACCCTGAAGGACATGTAGACCTTGCAAGGAACAATCTACCAAATATTATCGTCTTATTACTCATAATAAGTGACTATTTCACTCCTTTTTTTTTCAAGCAGTCACTGAACCATGTAATGAGGTCAAGGACAATGGACATATGACAGACATAAAATTCGTAACATAAGGTATCTGCATGCAAGGTATAAAGCATCCAGGTCTTCTTGCTTCTGAAATATAAAGCTTTATACAAATAGTTTACACCATCAATACAAAACCAGAATAGCCATGTTAGCTGGATTTCTTTGTTTTATATGAGCTTGACTGTGCTCAGTTACTATGAGCATACTCTATCATGCATAGTATTATACAGTAGGTGAGAGTTTTTGTTGAGGGCCTCACTTTAACTTTGAGATGAAGAACTGCAATAAAAGCGCTGTTCCTTT